CACTCTAAACATGTTTGGATGCACTCTAATTATGTTTCGACGCACTCTAAACGTGTTTTGAAACGCTCTAAAGATGTTTAGACGCAGTCTAAAAATGTTTAGACGCACTCTAAATATGTTTCGACGCACTCTAAATATGTTTCAATTCACTCTAAACATGTTTGGCTGCACTCTAAGTATGTTTCGACGCACTCTAAACATGTTTCGACGAACTCTAAAAATGTTTCAATTCACTCTAAACATGTTTGGCTGCATTCTAAGTATGTTTCGATGCACAATCAACGTGTTTGGACGCACTCTAAACGTGTTTGGATGGACTCTAAGTATGTTTGGATGCACTCTAAATATATTTCGACGCACTCTAAAAATATTTCAATGCACTCTTAACGTGTTTGGATGCACTCTAAGTATATTTGGATGCACTCTAAACATGTTTCGACGCACTCTAAAAATGTTTCGGTGCTTAAACATGTTTGGCTGCATTCTAAGTATGTTTCGATGCACAATCAACGTGTTTGGACGCACTCTAAACGTGTTTGGATGGACTCTAAGTATGTTTGGATGCACTCTAAATATATTTCGACGCACTCTAAAAATATTTCAATGCACTCTTAACGTGTTTGGATGCACTCTAAGTATATTTGGATGCACTCTAAACATGTTTCGACGCACTCTAAAAATGTTTCGGTGCTCTCTAAACATATATGGATGCACTCTAAACATGTTTTGAAACACTCTAAAAATGTTTAGACGCACTCTAAAAATGTTTAGACGCAATCTAAATATGTTTCAACGCACTCTAAAAACATTTCAATGCACTCTAAACATGTTTGGATGTACTCTAAGTATGTTTCGATGCACTCTAAACGTGTTTGGACGCACTCTAAACGTGTTTGGATGCACTCTAAATATGTTTGGATACACTCTAAGCACACACTCTAAACATGTTTGGATGCACTCTAATTATGTTTCGACGCACTGTAAACGTGTTTTGATGCACTCTAAAAAAGTTTAGACGCACTCTAAATATGTTTTGACGCACTCTAAAAATGTTTCAATGCACTCTAAACATGTTTGGCTGCACTCTAAACATGTTTGGATGCATTCTAAGTATATTTCGACGCACTCTAAAAATGTTCCAATACACTCTAAACATGTTTGGCTGCACTCTAAAAATGTTTAGACGCACTCTAAATATGTTTCGACAAACTCTAAAAATGTTTCAATGCACTCTAAACATGTTTAGCTGCACTGTATGTATGTTTCGATGCACTGTAAACATGTTTGGACGCACTCTAAATATGTTTCGACGCACTCTAAAAATGTTTCAATGCACTCTAAACATGTTTGGCTGCACTCTAAACATGTTTGGATGCATTCTAAGTATGTTTCGACGCACTGTAAAAATGTTTCAATGCACTCTAAACATGTTTGGCTGCACTCTAAGTATGTTTCGATGCACTCTAAACATCTTTCGACGAACTCTAAAAATATTTCAATACAATGTTTGGATGCACTCTAATTATGTTTTGATGCACTCTAAACGTGTTTTGAAACGCTCTAAAGATGTTTAGACGCAGTCTAAAAATGTTTAAGACACACTCTAAATATGTTTCGACGCACTCTAAAAATGTTTCAATGCACCACTCTATACATGTTTGGCTGCACTCTAAGTATGTTTCGATGCACTCTAAACGTGTTTGGACGTATTCTAAACGTGTTTGGATGCACTCTAAATATGTTTAGCTGCACTGTAAACATGTTTCGTCGCACTCTAAATATGTTTCGATGCTCTCTAAACATAGTCTCTAAACGTGTTTGGATGCACTCTAAGTATGTTTTGACGCACTCTAAAAATGTTTGATAAAAATGTTTACATGTTTGGATGTACTCTAATCACGCACTCTAAACATGTTTGGATGCACTCTAATTATGTTTCGATGCACTCTAAACGTGTTTTGAAATGCTCTAAAGATGTTTAGACGCAGTCTAAAAATGTTTAGGCGCACTCTAAAAATGTTTCGATGCTCTCTAAACATGTTTGGATGCACTCTAAGTATGTTTTGACGCACTCTAAAAATGTTGGAACACACTCTAAACATGTTTGGATGTACTCTAAGCACGCACTCTAAACATGTTTTGATGCACTCTAATTATGTTTCGACGCACTGTAAACGTGTTTTGAAGCACTCTAAAAAAGTTTAGACGCACTCTAAATATGTTTTGACGCACTCTAAAAATGTTTCAATGCACTCTAAACATGTTTGGCTGCACTCTAAATATGTTTGGATGCATTCTAAGTATGTTTCGACGCACTCTAAAAATGTTTCAATGCACTCTAAACATGTTTGGCTGCACTTTAAGTATGTTTCGATGCACTCTAAACATGTTTCGACGAACTCTAAAAATGTTTCAATTCACTCTAAACATGTTTGGCTGCACTCTAAACATGTTTCGACGCACTCTATAAATGTTTCAATGCACTCTAAACATGTTTGGCTGCAATCTAAGTATGTTTCGATGGACTCTAAACATGTTTCGACGAACTCTAAAAATGTTTCAAAGCACTCTAAATATGTTTGGCTGCACTCTAAGTATGTTTCGATGGTCTCTAAGTATGTTTCGATGGTCTCTAAGTATGTTTGGATGCACTCTAAGTATGTTTTGACGCACTCTAAAAATGTTGGATTGCACTCTAAACATGTTTGGATAATTTTTAGATCATCGGATTATTCGTCGAGAGATAGATGCCGATTTT